GGTGAGAAGGGAACCACAGTGACAGGCTGTGGGAGTTTGTCCCTCCTCCTGGAGCAGAGGGGAAGCAAGAGAGTTGACAAGAGGAAGAGGAAGTTTAGGGGTGGCTGGGAGGCAGAGAGGCTCCTGCTACAGCAAAGGCTGAGATGATGCAGCTGAACCTGAGGAACGGGCAGGAATGGGAAGGAGGCACTGACATGAGTAGTACTTTGAGGGGAGCATTAGTTGAGCGTAATGATGAGTTAGATATAGGATAAGAGTGAAGTCAGCGTTAAACATATCTGCAAGGTTTGAGCTGGTTTGTGGGGATAAGCCAGGGAGTACGAGGGAATCTGGGGCAGGATGCTCCCACTGAAAGGCACAGAGTCAAGGAAAGATGATTTTAAAATTAAGATAGGCCAGGTGCGGTGGCTCACACCTGTAATCCCAACAGTTTGGGAGGCTGAGGAGAGCCGATCACTTGAGGTCAAAAGTTCAAGACCAGCCTGGCCAACATGGTGAAAACCTGTCTCTACTAAAAATACAAAAATTAGCTGGGCATGGTGGCAGGCACCTGTAATCCCAGCTATTCAGGAGGCTTAGGCAGGAGAATCACTTGAACCCGGGAGGTAGAGGTTGCAGTTAGCCAACGTGGAGCCACTACACTTCTCCAGCGACAGAAGAAGGGGTGCGAAGGAGACTAACAAAACGGAAAAAGAGAAATAGGCCCAAATTATTAAAACCAATCCAATTGAGTTACTTAATAAACTTACCAGGGTAAGTGACAAAGACAAAATGAGTTCTGCTACTTTATCTGTTTAATGGCCACAGACATGTCTCAGTCATGTTTTTATTTTTTTAAAAAAATTTATTTACAGCACCTTTGTACATCTTTAAAAGTTATGCCCACGTACATACATTACCGGGGTATTCATGTGCAATTATTATGAGTTATTTAAACTTTATGTCTTAGAGTTTTGACAATTCTTCCAAATGTGAGGATTACAACACTGGTAAAATTGCCTGTGAGAACAGGTGGAGAATTTTTTAAGCAACAAAACTCCACAATACTGTAACATAACCTCAGATCTCCAGGAAGAGGTCACCCTCCCTTGAAAATCATCCTTTCCGGATTGTTCTCATTCGAGTGCAGAGCAGGTTCAGTGTCTCTGGCGTGGCTTTGTACTAAGAGGTGACAGTTGATCATCTAGCAAACATTCAAGAAAGTTCCATGTAAACAAAAAGGTATGAAATAAAATGTGTGAAAACAGAAGCACCAGAAAATGACTCATCTGTATTATCTAAACTCCAGATGGGTAATAACATGCAGATGACATTGAGGATTATCGTTCGATGCAATTCCAATTGAGAAACTAAGTTTTTGGTGCAACACCCCATTCCCACCTGTGACTACTCAAGTATAAATAAACTAAGAAGCATAAATACTCAACGCTTTATCAGGTGCATGCAGTCAGTGATCATTCATCCAAATTTAAAATTCAAATCAGGTCATGTTCCCTCATTTTTTTCTATACCAGTTTTTTTGGGTGTTTTTTTTTTTTTTCACTCTTTTACTACAAGAATGTGAAAATATATTTAAAAGCAGGATACTTTAAAATCAGGAAATGTATTTTGCTCTCTTGAAGAAAATAGATAAGATTTGGCAAAGGATAAAATTCGCCATAAATGACAAAGACATTTTTAACAACTGAACTTGTCATTAGCACTAAGATGAGCTGCTTACCAGGAACTAATAACAAGAAACATCATGAAGTTTAAAGTTGATCATTCTAAACATGAAGGAGAATTAAACATCTTAACCCCAGGAATCAATTGTGCTGATAACTACCCAGTCTCATTTAGTAGTGGACTCATCACATTGAAGATATTCAGGAGTTAAAGATATCAGCATGGAAGAATGAGACCAAATGCTTTTTTCTTCATTTCATTTAATATTATAATGACTGATATGTATGAAGGGATTTGTAAGGGCTTTTCATTTCAAATTATATCTTATCTTTAAATATCCAAAGTTCCTATGTAGAAACAACTGCAATTTTTATGAATAGGCTGCTCTTGCCTTTAAAAATATGTTTTTAAAGAGCAAATTCTGCAGAATTCATTATTAAAAGGACTATGGGACTTTGAAGAGGCTTTCATCAACATTGTCTCTAAATTACCCTTAGTTTTACCCAGTGGCTCAGAACTTGGGGCAAAATTTTTTTCCCAGGTTATATGTGGCAGTGTCTGGAGACGTTGTTGGTAGTCACAACCTGAGGGGACAGGACCAGCATTTATGAATAGAGATCAGGGGTGCTGCTAAATATCCTACAATACACATCTCACATCAGGAGCGAGAACACATCCAATTCAAAATGTAAATAATGCCAAGACTGAGAACCCCTGGAGTAACCCTCACAAATGTTCTTAGGACTTCACAGGGCAGCTGTCTCACTGTAATCCCAAACCTACCTGAGTGATTTCCTCGACATTCAAAACATCTATTCCCACTGAACTTTAGAGTTTTTTGTTTACCACTACTGGAATTTGCTCAACCAACGGCAAAAAAAAAAAAAAAGAACTAAATATGGAGAAGAGAATATTCTTAATTCTTCCTCAAATAATGTTTATCTATTTTATCAAGAAATTAGAGAGTAATTTTTTTTGTGTCAACAATGGAGCCTGGTATCTCTGTGGGTATTCATAATGGCCCAATATCATGAAAAAAATTAACCTATATTTTCAAAAGCAATGTTGGGAGTCAGAAAATGAAGCAGATATAGTATTTCCTATAGCCAATGCTAAAATAATGTGGAAAGGACTGTTTCTATAGAAAACAAAGTGCAGTAGGGCCGTGTAGGAGCCCAGGTTAGCACACAGGACAACTGGTCCCTGACCTAACACACAAACTATTTAAGCATTATGTTTAAACATATGACTTTAAACATTTTGTCAGTTCTTCTAAAAATGGTGCGGGGTCAGTGGGAGGAGGGGGGCTTGTAAATAACCTAAGCATACAGGAGCACCAAACTGAGTGGCAGTGTTTTTCTAATATTAAAGGAAAATAGTGCTGTTTTAAATCTACTGATTATCTGCTACTACTGCCTCCAAAGCACGGCTAATTCAAAAGGAGAAAGAGGACTCTTGTATTTTCTTGGGAGAATTACAAGGCAGGACAATTAAAGAGAGAGTGAAACCCAAGTGAAAATAGCATACGGCAGGTATCACAGTGCCAGAGGTGACAAATGCAAGCCAGCCAACCCAATACAAAATAATTGCGCTTAGCTTGATTGGACGTTATTAAATGCACTCAGCCAAAGTGCCTTAAAAAGGTATTATTTCACATTGACTCTAGGCCATAATCTGGTAAGTGTCGATCAAGATAGTTTTCTCAAGTTATGTTTAATTATAGTGGAATTAAGTGCCTTTTCTTATCCAGAAAAATATTTTAGAGATTAAAGAACAGTGTTTAAATGCAAATTAATATGCATTCCTTCAGCCAGTTGCACAAAAACTGTGAAATTAATTTTTTTCCTTTTAATAAAGGCAAAATGATGTGAAATCAAATAAGACCTTCAGATTTGGAAGTCAGAGAAAAATTTCTTTTTTGGCTTGGTCTAAGGCATTTCAACCAATGTTTATGTAAAAGAATCTGGCCCACTTATCTCCATGCTGAGTTTCTCAGAGGTTTCACTGTTTTGCGTGAGTACGTGCCACACTTTTAATACTAAAAAGATAAATGTCTTACTTATTAACCCCTTTGAGCTTATAAAGTGCATATAACCCAGCCCAATAAGCTCCTAGAAATAAAAACATTTTTAGGCATTTTTCTATTTACCTAATTCACTGCCAGTTTAAACTTAGATAATACATTTTCAAGGAATAAATAATTTTCGGGCCAGGTGCAGTGTGGCTCATGCCTGTTCTCCCAGGGCTTTGGGAGACCGAGGAAGGAGAATCACTTGAGGCTAGGCATTCAAGGTCAACCTGGGCAACATAGCGAGACCCTGTTTCTACAAAAAAAAAATTCTATCCTACTGATCATAGCTGTTTATTTATTTCAGCCTTCAAATTTAGGACTAAGATAAATTGTTTAAATATGATGTTTGTTCTAAGAAATCATGGATGCTGTCTTCATCATCAACCCAGCACCTCTGATAAATCCTGTGCAGATTCTAAACAGGACTTTACACGCTAAGAGATGGTGATTTTCAGACAATCTTGCAATCTACCAAAGACGATAGTAGTTGTCTAGTGAGGCACCTCCCATTTTCTCATACTTGTGAGACTTCTGATTTAAATAATGATGTCTGAACAATGTGTTAAATACATCACAGATGCTTCTCTACTACGAATATAGTTTGGTTATGGGTCTGAATCCGATTATAAAAATTTTATTTGAACTTGGTAATTTGGATCAGAGACATAAAAGAAAATTTTAAGTTCCTCAAAAGCACATTAAAGGCAGCAAGTAAGCTAATTCTCATTTCTGCTTTGGACATCAACTTTTCCATTGAGTCACTAGTTGACAACTATAATAAATACTTTAAAATATGTCTGATTAAAGAGAAGGCAGTCTAGCTTATTTATTTGACCAGAATTAATACTCAATGTTATGCATTCTGCTATCCCAGGAATACTCTTTTCTGGTAAATGCCGCATAGAACAATGAGATCATATGAAAGAAAAGTCAAAGGAAATTTGGAAAAATAAGTAAATCATTATCAAAGCACTAAATGAAAACAGCCCCAACTGTACTGACTCTGAAAGACAGCATATGAGTATCTGTGTCATACTTGAGGAAGCTGAAATGGACCCTCACTTCCATGTGAAAAAGATGTATTATATATTTAAACATTTGAAACATCCTATAGCTGCAGTTCAGTTCACAGCAGAAAGTAAACATTAGTTTTCTCTCACCTCACAAAATGTAGAGATGGACAGAACAAAAAAAAAAAAACAAAACAAAAAAAAACCCTATTAACGTTTACCTCCTACAGAATGTTCTGAGAATATTTTCTACCTTAAGAGTTATTCATTGTATATTTATTTGAAAATGAATCAAAGAAAAAGATATTTCTTTAGTGCCAGAAATACCTAACTTGCCTCTTTTATGATCATTAAGGGGAATGGGAAAATACAGCTATTGTGGTACTTTAGTTTTTTCAATGTATTTAAGCTATGATCTCACCTGAGCATCAGCTAGAAGTTCTAATCAGTTTAGAAACAAGAACTTCTTTGAACACTGTATCTGCAGTTATTGAGTCCCAGGCCCAGACTTGAATATCCCTGATATATACACCAGCGCAGTTTGCTTTAGAAAAACGCATGTTCAAGCTGAAACAGTCAAGAGCAGCATGAGACACCCAGGGGAATAGAAAGGGGTTACCAGTTACATAAAATTCACAGACATGTTTAACTAAAATCCCAAACAGCCAACCCCTAGTGAACACAGAGCATGCACACTGCAAGTCTGGTCTGAGCCTACAACCCGGAAAGCTCTTCTTATGAGCCACGCTGGTGGTTCCAAAGTGCCTTGTCTATACAGTCTGATTATATGGGTACCAGATTAAAAGTGCGTGCTGTTGACATGACATTGGTCCTCCTGAGTTTTGTTAAGAGTTTGTCCGTGGTCACTCAGACAGCTGTCCAAAGACACTTCAATAGCCACTTCCATTGTGTCTCTTCTACAGAGGCCATCACTTCCATATGTGTCTAGAGAGGGCCCACCATTGTGCTCAGCACAGCCATTGACATGGGCCAGAGGCAGTGCCCCGGGGGGACAACACAGCTGCTTAGCACAGCCCTTGGAGATGCAGGGTGAGTTGCACAGCCACAGTGCGTCCTTCTGCTCCAGGGGTTCCTTCAAGTCCACATTTTCAAACTGGATGGTGACATTGTGGATTCCCGCACTGTGGAAGATTTCTCGAATTTTAGTGCTAGCATCTTGATATCCCCTGTCCTTAGGATACTTGATATGCAGGGTGGCAATAATCTTTCCACTTACAAGTTCCCAGATGTGTACTTCATGTACACTGCTAATTCCAGGCACAGCAGAGAGTTTACTCACTATAACAGAGAAGAGCAAACAAAAGCCAAGGTGAGTGCTGCATTTGAGACATGGAACTACAGGAGGGATATGGTTCCTTTAAGTATTCTCACCAGAATGGTTGCATACTTATTAAGAACAGCAGGAAGAACAAAATAGTTGTACCTCTGTGCGTACATTTGCACTTAACCTTTCTCCACACATCGTTAGCCCATACAAAGTCATTTAAGAAAAGAAGTCTAAAGACAAGAAAAAAGTCCCCAGGGTTGCTGAGTATACAAGGGAATGGACACTTGAATGAACTTCCCATAGTCACATAAAGTGCAATGCTTTTTTTTTTTTTTTTTTTTTTTAAATGAAGTCTTGCTCTGTCCCCCAGGCTAGAGTGCGGTGGTGTGATCTCAGCTCACCACAACCTCCACCTCCCAGGCTCGAGCGATTCTCCTGCCTCGGCCTCCTGAGTAGCTGGAATTACAGGCATATGTCACTGCACCTGGCTAATTTTCGTATTTTAGGAAAGATCGGTTTTCACTATGTTGGTCAGGCTGGTCTCGAACTCCTGACCTTGTGATCTGCCCACCTCGGCCTCTCAAAGTGCTGGGATTACAGGTGTGAGCCACCGTGCCTGGTCTGCCTTTTCTTAAAAGGGATGATTTAGCAACATGGATCAAAACAAACAAACAAAAAAACAAAAAAACCTTTACTAGCAATTCTACTACTAAGAGTTTAACCTAAAAGAAATAACCTAATATTTATGTACAAGAATGGTTTGGACAATGCTCTTTGTATTCATGAAAAAGATGGACCCAACAAGGAAATAGTTAAAACAATTATGTAATGGAATAGGATACAGTCGTTTAAAAGTTGCATATTTAAGGATATGAGAAAACGTACATAAGGTATTTTTAAGTGAAGAAGGAAATTGCTAAACTGTGTATATGGCAGGATCTTTCTTTTTACACTGCATATAGAAAAATATTAACAGTGGTAATTTCCACTGTCAAATTAAGAGAGATTTCTATTTTCTTATTTAGGCTCCTCTGTATTTTCTATACTTCTAAAATGAATATGTATTTAGAGAGATAGTATTCAATACGGATTTGAGCAAAGCCTCTGCAGTCAGCTAGTCTGAATCCTGGTTTAGACATTTACTAACTGCATGATCTTAAACAATTACCTATCCTCTCTGTGCCTCAGTTTCCTCATCTGTGTAATAGAAATGATAATAGTGCCTTTTGTATTATTTTAAGGATGAAAATGCATTATTATACGTAAAGCACTTAGAACACTTACCTTTCTAGCATGCAATAAATGCTATCAAAATAGTGCTATTGTTATTACTATGTTGTGGGGTTTTCTGTTTTTGTAGAGACTGTCCTGTCTCCCAGGCTGGAGTACAGTGGCATGCTTATGGCTCACTATAGCCTCACACTCCTGGGCTCCAGTGATCCTCTCACCTCAGCCTACTGAGTAGCTGGGACCACAGCCACACACTATAACCTTTACTTTTCTATTTATTTATAAAACTAATATTATTTTTGTAAAAATGAGGTCTCACTATGTTGCCCACGCTGCTCTTAAACTCCTGGCCTCATTCAATCCTTCTGCTTCAGCATCCCAAAGTGGTGAGACTACAAGCAACTAGCCCTCTATTTTTTAAAATATCTGTTTTTAAATATATTACTTTATTTAAAATGTAGCCAGTATATGTCACAAATTTCTTTGTATATGTTTATCTTATTCCCTCAATTGGGAAATGAACTAGCTCCTGGGAAGGCAAAGGCAATGCTGTATGTCTGTTCCTCTGTCTCCTTCCCTCTCCCATGCCTGCTCTGCCTGAATCACTGGGCAGTGTTGTGAGAGACACAGGGACTTGCATGTCCACATTAACTAGCAAGCAGGGTCTAGAATATGAATGATTGTGCTTTTAGAATAAAAAGAATAAAATAGAGTACTTGGCAGAAATGGCCTTATTTGAATTAAAATAAATCTTTGACATGAAAGTAAATAGCCCAGGAATAGGTATTATCCAGTCACTGCATTCTTAAAAACTTACAGTTGAGTCAGAGAATCACAGTTGCAAAGGACCTTTGGTGCTTGGAGCTGAGTCATCTTAATAGGCTATAAAACATATGATGGATGTCTCTACTGCCTGGTGATTTAAAGTGTTTCAGAATACATAAAGCAAACACTGCTCTTAAATAATCTTCGTCCTTTGGCCTGATAACATTGAACTGAGCGTGGTTCTGGATCACAATTCAGTCTACTTACTCAGCTCTTCCATGTTGACTCCTTTGGGGACCATCTGCAGCAGAATGGCACCGGTCTCCTTGATGAGTGGGAAGGCAGATGACAAAATGATGATGACCATGAGGACAGTCAGGCTGGGGTCAATGTAACACTGCCAGTTACACGGGTCCTCACTCCTCAGGGGAAGCACATAGAATATGATGGCCGTGATGACCACAACCACGGACCCCAGGGCATCTCCCATCACATGCAAAAGTACACCTGCCAGGAAGAAAGAAAGACTACTGCAGCACAGAGGCAAATCTGGAAGCCATGTGACACTCACTGACTTGGATCTCCAAGTATATGAATACCTGTTACCATTTGGAGTTTTTTGGTTTTGGTTTTGATTAGAACAGTAGGATGAATCAAAATAATGGCAACTACTTCTTAGGAAACAAAACCCCAGGCCACCATCTCAGGACTCGGAGTACCTTGGAAGAACAACAGCTTAGGGAGATTCTGAGCTCATAGTCGCCTGCAGGAAGAGTGACCGTGCCGTCTCACAGGGCCACATCACTACCACCCACCACCCACCAAAGGGCACCAAGCTAGAAAACAGAGGCTGTGCAAATGATTTCTTTTTCTTTAAGACAAGTATCTGTGCTTTACATTGTTTTTAACATTTTTAAGGGGATAGGGAACAAGTTATATTAAAGAGTGTTTAAAAAAAAAGTCTCTTTTCTACCTTGATCCGCCTTCCTTTTTCCCTGTAAGCATTTACCTACTTTTTATTTAGCCTGTGGTCATTTAAACAGCATTTTGTTTAAGAGGTGCCCAAGAACAGGGACTCCGGGAACATTTTCATTGCAGAAAGAGCCATTTATAATAAAATAAAATTAAAATTCTACAGATAATACTAAAAATTGTGGGTGCCTTTAATTAGGGAATTGTTTCTAAAGATACTGATTATAATATAGAACATATGCATTCCTCAGCAAAGATTTGAGTACCCAATTGTTAGGCAAGGATTAAACTGGGATTCAGTAAGTAAATTAGGTGAAAATTTGGTCAGAAAAATTATAAAATATAAACACAGAGTTTTTGGTTTTGGTTTTTGTGGGGTTTGTTTGTTTTTACAGAAAGCAACATCAGAACATTGCAATTCAAAGTATAGCTTGCAAACCAGCAGCATCAGCATCATCTAGGAGCTTGTTAGAAATGCCAATTCTCAGGCCCCACCTCAGATCTGTAGAATCTGAACCCACATTTTAAAAAGATGCCCAGGTGATTGGAATGCACATACAAGTTTCCAAAGCACGTATATTAAGAGGGGTCTGCTTTGTCTCTCTGTGTATTCCACAGACTTATGCAGCAGAATGAATAATAATCCAAATTACTAACAACTTACTCGTGGCTAAGACTGACAACTCACAGCTAAGACAGTCTCATTTGGAAGGTGCTTTAATTGGGCTAATTCCTCCTCTTGGCAACACCTCCACAATTCTAAATAACGTCATAGAGAAAATGGCATTTTGTGAACACTAAATGTAATTTAAGGCAATTGACTCAAATTTTTCCCAAAAAATACAGGAATAAAAATAATTCCCATATTTCCTTTTGGCTGTGTTTACTTATAAGATCCTGATTCAATATATACATCAACATTCCCATTTTCTAATGCTGTGCCTCTTTCTCCCAACATCTGACACCCAAAGGAGCTTTTAACTCCCCAATCCCTGTACTGAACCACAGGAGGGAAACAAAACGTTCCCAAGAGATGTTCTATGTACTTTGTTCCTCTATAAGGACTTAAAGATCCAAGCTTTAAATTTCTTCAGGGCAATACAAAATGCTACCATAAAAATACGAAAGCCTTCAAATCTTTTGAGATAAGGGGAAAAAAAAGAAGAGAAAAGAATTTTAAAAAATATGAAAGCCTAATATTTCCTGTGCACAAGTGATGTCATTTTTACTGCCTGACACAGTCTGTTATTCTCTGATTATCTCATACATGTCAGATCCATTTCCTCCGTAATAGCAATGCCGTAATGCCATAAAAGCAATGTAGGCATTCAATAAAACAGGAGCTTCTGGTTGATCATCATAACTCTCATGACATACAGTAACTCTTGTCTTTAATAATAACAACCATTGTCATTATTATGCTAACAAACACATGTGCTCCAGGCATTGTTTTAAGCATGTTACATATATTTACACATTAAGTCCTCATTAGGACTGCAAGGTTACCTTGTGAAAATAAGTAATGCAAAATCTAAGCTGTTGGAACTCAAAAGTATTTTGAGCCTTCAAGGAATGTGAGTTACAGGGCCTGAGCTACGTGACAGGCAGCTGAAAGCTTTTGCATGTCTGAATTAAGTCTTTTTCCTTACCTGCATTGCTCTGTAAAATGCTATAAATGGCGAAGGGCCCCAGGGAAGACCCCCTTTTCACTTATTGTTGATTTTGATTCTCCCTCTTACCTTCTCATACATGACATCATGGCTATCGCAGTCCTTTAATATGGAATGTTAAATACACTCTTTTAAGTTGGAAAGGAAATGAAAAACAGCTATAAAAAAAAAAAACAAGCCACATGGAAAACAAATTCTAACTAATTAATTTTTCTAACTTCTAAACCAGTCTTGTATAGAAAATGTTATAAACCTGTTAAAGTTCTTGTTCTTCTCCTTATATAAACAAGAATTTAGCTTTTAACTTTGGAACCCTATCCCCATTTCTCTGGAGTGAGTAACCCTGGAATGGCCATTCCCAGCTTTTCACTTGAATAAACTCTTGAAAATTGGAATCAAACCCTTCTGAGTATTTCTGGTTGGTACTCTCTTCATTTTACAAATGAGGAAACTGAGGCACAGAATACCTAAGTAACTTGTCCAAAATCACACAACTAAACAGTGTTAAATGGGTTATCAATCCAGGTAGCCAGTCCAGAGATCTACTGTGCATCCTGCCTCGTGTAAATTCTAAACTCCAAATTCAGCTTTTCCTTCTGAGAAATCCCACTATTAGTCACCAAGAATTACACAAAATAGTAACTTTCAAACTCGTTTTTCCCATAATCCACAGTAAGAATTATGTTTTGCATCCTAGCACAGAGATACAAGTTCAAACAAATAATTTGTGGTAAAGCAAAACTCACCCTTATATATGATTTCTTACTATTATCTATTCTATTTCATTCTATTATAATTAATTTTCTACTAAACTAATTCTAGGGCCCAAATTGTCATGGCCTTCAGTCTGAAAAACTGTTAAAACCAGCATCCCGCTCAGTTCCTGAGATTTCGTAATGCAGTGTGTCTTCTCACCACCCATGCAAAGATTATGAAGGCACAGTTATGATCATTAACCACAGCGCACTGGCAAAATTCTGTGTGCATGTGTGTGTGAGAGAGAGACAGAGACCGAGAGAGAGACAGAAAGAGAGAGAGAGAGGAGAGAGATGGGGTTTCCCTCTGTTACCCAGGCTGGAGTACAGTGGCATAATCATAGCTCACTCTAACTTTAAACTCCAGGGCTCAAATGATCCTCCCACCTCAGCCTCCCAAGCAGTTAGGACTACAGGTGTGTGCCACTGCACCAGCTAATTTTTTTACTAAAAAAAATTTTTTTTTAAATTTTTTAACTTTTTTTTTTTACAGGGACAGGGGTTTGCTCTTTTGCCCGCGCTGGTCTCAAACTCCCAGCCTCAAGTATTCCTCTCGCCTCAGCCTCTCAAAGTAGAAGATGCTGAAATAAATACATTGATAACCTCCTCGTGGTGGAAAAGAGTCTCCTGTGATGAGAAATCTCAGGAAAGTCTTGTTGAGAGGTAGGTAATTTGGGCAGGACTCTGGAGAGGAGGCAGACTTCAACAGGCAACCAGAGGAGAAGGCATTTCAGACAGGAACACCTCGCAGGAGCCTCACGGGAAACTGCAGATGGAGACGTGTTCATGGGGCAATGTTGGGGGCTGATGCACTTAATTTAGACTCACAGACCCTGACACTGTGGCTATGAGCCATGGACCTTATGAAAGTCAACCTCTCTGAGGAGCAAGATTCTCATCTGTGAAATGGGGTAGTAATAGTATCTGCCTCACTTCCCTCAGAGGCTAGTTCTGAAGAATATGTTTAAAAATGTCTGAAAACTGTCTGAGAATGACCAAGAGGTGGTGACGATGATGACAGGCACCATTTGTTGAGTGGGTCCTCTGTGCTGTTCTAACTGCCCATGTGATCAGCACAACACAGTGATGTTGGTCTTATTATCTCCATTGTATAGATGAGGGGACTGAATCTCAAGGAGATTAAGTTCCTTGCCCCAGGTCACCTCGCTAGGAAAAGAGAGAGGCTGAACTCAAACCAGATCTGCCTGACCACAGGGTGTAAGAGCTTCTCACCTCTCTACAGTTGTACATTAAATGCTGGTGTGTATGCAGAGAGTAAAGAGCTGGTGGTGGAGGTGAGGCCATGAAGGAGTGAAGGGAAGGGCAGAAACGTCTAGAAAGGAATATTGGCACCAAAACAGCAAGCTCTTGAATGTCAGCAGTGTTTAGACCATATCCTGGATGCAGTAAAGGCTTTGATCAGACTGCGATGTGATCACATCTATGATTCAGAAAGATAAATCTGGCAGCATTATCTGAGACACACAAAGATCACCACCTAGTAGACAACTCAATCACCTGATTAGTCATAATGCTCTCAAGGTAGCTTTGCAAAGGCAGGAAACCTCTGTACTTGGCCCTAACTTGCTGCCTTTAGATTAAAACGAAACCCCCAAAAAACTGGCATATAACATAAGCTGGCAATTTGACACAAGTTGAAATTTGGTGTGTCCCAGAACTTAGGAAAGCCATCGGTGCTGTTGAATTTGTTGAATGACTGGAAATAGTGCATTTGTACCGGGCAAGTGGTAATGAAAAGATGAGATGAAAAAGTAAGAATTGCAAAGAAACATCTCATCAAAGGGGATTTCTTTTCAAGGGACATCAAGATGGCTATTTGTCTATTTATGTTTATACCAAACTTTAAAAAGCTAATTGTCTTTCTGACATATTGTTACATCTTTAATGTATCATGTTTGATCCTATTAAATAAAATTGACCACTACAAAGCACATTGATAAGAATTTTAAGAGGATTGTGTTTTTTATCATACTTTACAGTAGAAGACAGAGTGTGTTGCTTAGAATTCATTTTTTTGGCAGGTGCGGTGACTCACACCTGTGATCCTAATACTTTGGGAGGCTGAGGTGGGGGATTACCTGAGGTTGGGAGTGCAACACCAGCCTGGCCAACATGGTGAAACCTCTTCTTCACCAAAAATACAAAAAATTAGCCAGGTGCAGTAGAATATGCCTGTAATCCCAGCTACTCTGCAGGCTGAAGCAGGAGAATCGCTAAACCTGGGAGGTGAAGGTTGCAGTGAGCCAAGATCATGCCACTGCACTCCAGCCTGGGCTACAGAGCAAGAGACTTCATCACTCAAAAACAAAAAAAAAAAAAACAACTCATTTTCCTATTCCCATTGGAATAAGAGAAACAGTAAAGAAAATGAAGAAATTGCTTTTTTGTTTGCGGAGACCCCTATAGGATATTTCCTCTGCAGATCTGGAGAGCGGGACATAGTCCTACTTTCTAAAGCAGTTGCTTAAATGTTAGAAATACAACCATTCAGTGACCGTGTACTAGAGAAGCAAGCCATCTCTGCCTGGAGTCTAGAGGCAATGTGTGATCATGGAAAGGGTCAGAAATGTGATGTAAGAGTCCAAGATTCTAGCCTTGTCTCTTCTATGAGCTGGGGTGACTTGGGGAAGTCATCAAACTCTGCACCCTGCTTCCTCATCTGTGAAGTAAAAGGTTGAAGTCCATTTTCCCTAAGGTCTTTCCAGGTCTAGCATTCTATGATCCTTCTGTGAATTACGGCTCCAGGATAAGGACACAGCACCAAAGTGGGGGCCAGCCTCACACTTAGCCGGAAATATGGAAAGGCTCCGATTAGCCACAGGACAGGTCCTCGTCCAAAGCAGCAGGAATAATCTCCACTAACACGGAAGCACTGTGGGTTTGAGCCCCGCAATTCCACTCACTACCTGAACAACAACTGTATGCACTCAGTAAGATTGTGTGACTACCACGTTGACTCATTCATGAATGGTACCAGTGACAAAGTCTGTACTCAATCAAAACATCAGCTAGGTTTCCTGCTATAAGCCTAAACGCTACAGATTTCACTTATTTCAAAACAATTCCATAAGGTGAGTACTGTTATTATCCTCATTTTAAAGATGAGGGAATTGGAGCCTTAGCGAGGTTCAATAACTTGCCCAAAGTCACATGGTTCTTAAGTAACAGAGCCATGATTCACACTCAGGCAGTTTGAAGCCAAATCCCAATCTTTCAGCCACTGCACCATTTATATCTATCAGAAGCTAGAGATGCACTGGTGTCAGTACCTGTAAACCAAGGGCCCAGCCAGGTACAGCAAGGCATTCTACTACTGGCATTTTTCTACCAAGAAACTTCAATAGCTTTGGACTAAAATTTGTCAAGATCATACAAGTTTCTCAAACAAGATCACCATATCTATGAGGGTCTACTCTTCATTCTTCTTTGTTTCATTCCGCCTACCTATTCTCTTTCTCAACATTGTAATGTAAGGATGAGGATACTTGGCTAGGTGCAGTGGCTCAGGCCTGTAATCCCAGCATTATTGGAGGCCAAGGCAGGCAGACTGCCTGAGGTCAGGAGTTCAAGACCAGTCTGGCCAACATGGTGAAATCTCGTTTCTGCTAAAAATACAAAAATTATCCAGGCATGGTGGTGCACACCTCTAATCCCAGCTACTCGGGAGACTGAGGCACGAGAATCGCTTGAACCTGGAAGGCGGAGGTTGCAGTGAGCAGAGATTGCGCCACTGTACTCCACCCTGGGAGACAGAGCAGGACTCCATCTCAAAGAAGAAGAAGAAAAGAATGAGGATAGGTAACAGAACATGTTTTGAAAAGTTAAAGTCTCTGATGGTGAACTCCACCTTAAAACTTATGTGTATATGCATACATATATATATCGTTCCACTGCACTGCAACCTGGGAGACTGAGTGAGACTCTGTCTCAATTATATATATAACAGAGTGTCACTCAGTCTTCCAGGCTGCAGTGCAGTGGCATGATCTCAGCTCACTGCAACCTCCGCCTCGTGGGTTCAAGCAATTCTCCTGCCTCAGCCTCCTGAGTATCTGGGTTTACAGGACCCCCTAGTCACACCTGGCTAGTTTTTGTCTTTATAGTAGAGATGGGGTTTTGCCAGGCTGGTCTTGAACTCCTGATCTCAGGTGACCCACCCACCACAGCCTCCCAAAGTGCTAGGATTACAGGTGTGAGCCACCAAGCCTGGCCCCAATGTATATATTTAAAAACTGAACCATGTAAAAGAAAGATAAATGATGATGACTGTTTATTATATCATCATTATTAAGCTTTTCTTTCTTTTTTTTTTTTTTGAGATGGAGTTTCGCTCTTGTTACCCAGGCTGGAGTGCAATGGCGCGATCTCGGCTCACCGCAACCTCCGCCTCCTGGGTTCAGGCAATTCTTCTGCCTCAGCCTCCTGAGTAGCTGGGATTACAGGCATGTGCCACCATTCCCAGCTGATTTGTGTGTGTGTGTGTGTGTGTGTATTTAGTAGAGACGGGGTTTCACCATGTTGACCAGGATGGTCTCGATCTCTTGACCTCGTGATCCACCCGCCTCAGCCTCCCAAAGTGCTGGGATTACCGGCTTGAGCCACCGCACCCGGCCTAAACTTTTCTTTTAAAAGCTTACTACTAAGCTCTTTTGGAGAGCAAATTTCCCTGTTGCATTTAAATTTGGTTAATTTAGAAATTTTTAGGAGCTCATATGTTATTGTTGTTATCTTCTGGATTTTCCCTATTGGTTCATTCTGAAAATTACTTTTTAAAACAGATGTGAGACACTCAAAGTGAAGATACCTCCTGAATTATTAATTTTTCATTATATTATTTCCATCTAAACCCCACGTACAGGCTTTCCCCAAACCACAGGAAAGTAGAGGGTTGCTTAATCCTTGTTGGAATTCTCAAAATCAAGATTGGGGATTAACCCCTTCTGGAATTACTCTGAAGCAAAATCTGCGCCGAAGAAGTTGGAAAGGAGAGATGTTGGATACAATGGTGTCCAGCGAGAAACACATCTCAAAAACCCCTGGGCTGACCTTAGTCCAGTGCTTCTGACCTTGACTGCATAGTGAGAAGAATGCTAGTTAGGTGCCTGCCATGGGCCTCACCAGAACACTCCCTTTGGTCCTGGGAGTGGAGGTTTTAGTGAGCCAACAGTCCCTTCACAAAGGCAGATTTCTGGCAGAAATAATTGATGTAACAGGGTCATTCAGCAATGCCAGATAGAGCACAACCTTGGATAGCAGCTCACCTACTCTTTTCCTACCTTTATCAAAGGCACATTCAATTAAAATAGGCTTCATTATTTGTTAGCAATATCTATGGACTAGTAAAACCAAGTAAAGTAGTAAATAACATTGATATGTGCAGTTCTAGAGCAGGCAGTAGCAGCATGGGTCTAAGTGGAGTTAAGATAAATCATCAGCAACCAGCTTCTCCCCAGGATCAATGCAGTGATTACAAAAGAGAGTCAGGTCATAGTCTGTGCATGTAACTGGCCTACTTTCAAACACACCTTTGCCTTATTAAAAGTCAAAGAGAAATTTACAGCACAGTCCAATGTGTCATAGAAAGCGATTTCAAATAGGTTCAAAGTCAATCCTACCTCTGATATTCAGAGCTTCAGACTTTTTCTCTTTTTTCATCATCTCTTCTGGCTCATTCTGGGTGTTGAAGGAATCACCTGCATTCAAAGAAGAAACCTTGTGTTGTGTATAAGTTCTACAAACAAACAAAAAAAACCAATGGACTCAAAATAAAGTTTTGTTATTTCAAATTCCTACTAGCTTAAGGGAGACCCTTCCTCTGCACACACACAGCTCAGAACAGTACATTTGGCCTTGAAATAGCCTTGTTGATACACCTTTGGACTTCATTCACACATCCTTTTTTTTTTTTTTTTTTTTTTTTTTTGAGATGGAGTTTCGCTCTTGTTACCCAGCCTGGAGTGCAATGGCGCGATCTCGGCTCACCGCAACCTCCGCCTCCTGGGCTCAGGCAATTCTCCTGCCTCAGCCTCCTGAGTAGCTGGGATTACAGGCACGCGCCACCATGCCCAGCTAATGTTTTGTATTTTTAGTAGAGACGGGGTTTCACCATGTTGACCAGGATGGTCTCGATCTCTCGACCTCATGATCCACCCGCCTCGGCCTCCCAAAGTGCTGGGATTACAGACTTGAGCCACCGCGCCCGGCCAACATCCTTTCAAGTTAAAACAAAAAGAGGGCAAATGGGAGCCCACCTGCAGCCCTCAAACACATAACACCCAAGAGGACAAACAGATCGGCAAAGAGAAAGGGAGAAAAACAAAATTCAGATACCAACTAATGAGAGGGAGGAGGGGTTGGAGAGTGTTGCCCGATAATGACTGATTTCAAAGAAAATCAATACTTTTATAGAGAGAATAGGGGAAGGGAAAAGAGACTAGGGCTACCCGAGGATCCAGGAGAAAAAAGAAAGGATAGAGAATATATTAATTTAAAAAAAAAAAAAAAAAAAAAAAAAAGCATGCAGAAGAAAAAGAGGGCGTGGGGTGAGAAGAAAGGGAAAGGGAGCCGGTGGGAGGAGGAAGGAAGGGCCAAGCGGTCCAGAGGATGCAACCGAAAGGCACCTGCTACGTTTGAGAACACGGTCGCCCCCTTCTCCTGCTTTCTTTCCACCGAGGTCCCCCGAAGGGTTACGGCCGAGTCAGAGCCGGGGGCTGTTGGGGCCGATGCGCGCCGCGGGTCCTCCGGGCCCTGGGGTCCCCCGAAAGCACCGGGAGCGCAGTCCTCCGCCAGCTGCTGACGCTGCTGCAGGCAGCGACCGCGGCCCCGCCTGCAGCACGAGAACCAGGAGGCGCAGTCCTGGAAGATGAGCAGCCCCACCAGGTTGACCAACAGCCCCAGGGCGCCGACGATGAGCACCAGCTCGGGGTCATCGATGCGCTCCGGCCGGGCCAGGCGCAGCACGGCCTCCACGAAGATGGTGAAGCAGAGCGCTGTGAGGAAGACGGCGTTGCTCAGCGCGCCCACCACCTCGGCGCGGGCGTAGCCGTAGGTGGCGTGGAAGCCCCCGGTGGGGCGCCGGGCGATGTAGCCGGCGCTCAGGCCCACGCACAGCGAGATCAGGTCGGAGAGCATGTTGAAGGAGTCGGAGAGCAGCGCGATGGAGTTGCCCAGGTAGCCGGAGACCAGCTCCGCCACGAAGAAGGCGACGGTGAGCACCAGCATGAAGAGCAGCCGGCACGTCTTGCCCGAGTAGCGGCCCATCTCGCCACTGGCCGCTGGCACCAGGCGCCGCCCCGGGAAGCACAGCCCGCCCCGCGCGCAGCCACAGGTGGGGGCGCGGCGCGGATCCACGAGGCCGGGTACCCGCCTCCTGGGCTGTCTCCCCCGCCCGGCCCCGCCGCTTTTTATAACGCGAGGCCGAGCCCAGCCAGTCCCCGCACGTCCAGAGTCTAAAGGAGTGGCGGCGGCAGTATCTGAACAGCCCGTGCGCCGCCTCCCGCGGCTCCTTTCCCCTCCCTCGCGGCCTGGGCCTGTCTTGGCAGGTGGCCACGAGCCGATGTCTCTGCTTCTGGGACAGGACTGTGCAGAGAGGGGCGCTGCGGAGGAGAGGGGGCGTGTCTGGATGTCAGTCTTCACAGACCCCCTCCCCGCGCAAAGGTGGGATTCACCGAGACACCCCTCGTCTGCGGGCCCTCAGGGTCGCCAGTGTCCTGCTGACTCATTGATAAGGGCCTCGGCTGCTGTGGGGTGTGTTCGCTGAGGTGGACGTGGACACCTCCAAGTACGTGCCCAAAGACACCTTGCAGGGCAGATTCCATATTAACCAGGTGCAAGGTCCCGAAGCACAGGCTTGGGGCAACCCTGCCCTTGAAGATGTTTCCTGCTTTTTATTTCGTGATGTGAGTTCATCTCTCATTCAGCCCTCCAGCATCATTCCCCTAACCTCGGGATAAAGCTATTTAATCCTCTCTTGTTCCTCACAGCCATCATAAAGGGTGCAAGATCATTCCTATTACCCCCTCATGGCACGGGACCATCCCTTCAGGATCTTAGCTGTCAAGGCCTCCTTCCCTGAGTGAATCGCAGGCAGCCCTCAGGAGAGCACAGACCCCACTTCTGTAAGCATGCGCTCCCACCCAGCACTGACTCTGTGATACACACAAGTCCCTTGGCCACTAAAGAAGTCAGGGCTGGCCTCCTCTGTGTACTTGTCTCATTCTCCATTGAAGAGAATATTCTTCTCAGCCCCATGTGTCCCTGACAGCATGACCTGATAGTACATGAAGGTTTATTCCGAATAAAGACTTTTTTCTTTCTTTTCTTTTTCTTTTCTTCTTTCTTTCTTTTTTTTTTTTTTTTTTTTTTTTTTTTTTTTTTTTTTTTTTTTTTTTTGAGACGGAGACTCTTGTTGCCCAGGCTGGAGTGCAGTGGCACGATCTCAGCTCACTGCAACCTCCACCTTCTAGGTTCAAGCTATTCTCTTGCCTCAGCCTCCAGAGTAGCTGGGAATACAGGCATCCGCCACCACACCCAGGTAATTTTTGTATTTTTAGTAGAGACAGGGTGTCGCCATGTTGGCAACGCTGGTCTCGAACTCCTTGACCTCAAATGATATGCCCACCTCAGCCTCCCAAAGTGCTGGGATTACAAGTGTGAGCCATCGTGCCTGGCCAAGACTCTTCTATTGACAACAGGCTCTATTCCAAATAAAAGTTATCCAGAAGGGAACTGCCTCCAGGACTCTGGAAGAGGCCGAGGAAGGGCCCCTTGACGAAGGGTGTCTGCTGCTGGTCTCTTCCAGCAGTGGAGGTTTGGGAGGCCTGGCTCCTGGGTTTCTTCGTTGGTTTCTTTTGTTACCTCATTCTCTCATCCCACAGAGGATTTGAAGGTGAAGTCTGGTCATCTCTATTCTCCCTCTCCATCCCCAATCCCTGAACTTTAACCATTCCTGAAAAATACACATGTAGTTTTGGCTTGGAAATGAATAAAAATGTTTCATCAAAAAACAAAACAAAGAAACCAAAAAAAACATACACAGGCCAGGCGTGGTGGCTTACACCTGTAATCCCAACACTTTGGAAGATCACTTGAACCCAGGAGTTTGAAATCAGCCTGGGCAACATAGGGAAACCCCATATCTATACAAAAAAAATAAAATAAAATAATTAGCCAGGCGTGTGTGCCTACGGTCCCAGTTATTCAGGAGGCTAAAGTGGGAGGATTGTTTTAGCCCAAGAAGTCAAGGCTGCAGTGAGCCATGATGGTGCCACTGCACTCCAGCCTGGGTGCCATAGCAAGGCCCTGTCTCAACCCCACCTCCCCCTACCACGGAATCCATGAGCAGAACATCCTAACCTCTAGCCCTGTTCACTGTCCTTAGCCTTGTAAAAGATAACCTTGTCTTTCAGTGTCTCCGAGGTCCGTAAAACATGCTTAATCCACGGGTCTCGCCTTATACCAGATAAGCCTCCAAACTCAAAGGGGTTATTAAACATTCCCACCTCCAGGAAAATATCTGTATACTGAGAACTAGAGAAAACTGATCATTGGAAATATTCTCTAAAAAATATAAAAGGCCAGGTGTGGTGGCTAATGCCTATAATCCCAGCACTTTGGGAGGCCAAGGCAGACAGATCACCTGAGGTTGGGAGTTCGAGTCCAGCCTGACCAACATAGAAAAACCCTGTCCCTACTTTAAAAAATACAAAATTAGCCGGGCATGGTGGCACATGCCTTTAATCCCAGCTACTCGAGAGGCTGAGGCAGGAGAATTGCTTGAACCTGGGAGGTGGAGGTTGCCATGAGCCAAGATCACGCCATTGCACTCTAACCTGGGCAACAAGAGCAAACGCCATCTCAAAAAAAAATTAATATAAAAATTAATAATGTAGAATAAGTAAGAAGATATAGACTACACTATTTTTCACTAGTGTAAAATGGGAATAATAATAGTATAGGGAAGATTAAATGGGTTAATATGTGTAAAATGCTTAAAACAGTGCCTGGTACACAGTAAGCACTCAATAAATGTTCTATTATTGTTATCAATAGTATTAGTACTACAGCACATGTGTGATGGAATTACTATTGAACAAAAGATGACACACTCTAATTCACAAGAGATTTATCAGAGTATTGTACCTGTTCCAGTTTCTGGCTTAGACTGTCTTCAAACCATAAAACCTCTGAAACATTTAACATGACAACAAGCAAAACAGCCAAAATAAGTGAGGAGGTCTTGTGGAACTAAACTTGACAAACTAAAGCATTCCTTGCTAATTGGATTTCTTTGTCATTCACCACTGAAAGAAAAACCTGAAATCAGCAGAAATGTATCACTGGAGCAGATTGCCCAATTATTTTCCTAACCAAGGGCAGATAAGCATTGTGTCACTGCCCCAGGAGTGCAGCGGATGGAACCAGAAAGCCAGTGGCTGAGGAAGCAGGAGGAGCTGGAAGTGGTGGAGGCAGCCTGCCTGCGGGCCCCATTCCTGACTTTAAGAAAGGGTAAGTGTTGCCAGATTGTGTCAACAAAAGGCACTGTAGAAAAATGTTTGTACTAAAACTACACACACACACACACACACACACACACAGAGAGAGAGAGAGAGAGAGAGAATATATAATCTAAGTTAATTGATAAAAATGTAGGCTGTATTTTATTTTTATTTTTTTTAAAGACAGAGTCTCACTCTATCACCCAGAGTGGAGCACAATGACCCAATCTCAGGTCACCACAACCTCTGCCCCAGGGGTTCAAGTGATTCTCCTGCCTCAGCCTCCTGAGTAGCTGGAACTACAGGTGTGCACCACCACACCTGGCTATATTTGCACTTTTAGTAGAGACAAGGTTTCACCACGTTAGCCAGGCTGGTCTTGAACTCCTGGTCTCAAGAGATCTGCCTGCCTTGGCCTCCCAAAGTGCTGAGATTACAAGCATGAGCCACCACACCTGGCCAGCATTTTATACTTAACAGCAAATTGTGAGGCTTCAATAGCTTTTGTTTATTGATCTCTTACTCTGCCCAGCTGAGGGTTTTATAAGCATCATCTCATTTCATCAGCCCCACAAAATAAGTACTATTTTATAGGAAAGAATCTGAAGTCCAGAGATTTTATGTAACTTACCCAAGATCATAGAAGCCGAAAATGATTAATAGACTTGAGATCTGAACTAGAAAATCAAACTCTAGAGGTTACACCCTTTGCTTTCAGATTATACTAACTCAATCATTTTAATGCTTCTTTCCTTCTTTTTTTTTTTTTTTTTTTTTTTTTTTTTTGGTCACCCAGGCTGGAGTGAAGTAGCATGAGCATGATCTCGGCTCACTGCAACCTCCACCTCCCAGGTTCAAGCAATTCTCCAGCCTCAGCCTTCCGAGTAGCTGGGATTACAGGTACCCACCACCATGCCCAACTAATTTTAGTATTTTTAGTAGAAATGAGGTTTCACCACGTTGGCCAGGCTGGTTTCCAACTCCTGACCTCAAGTAATCCACCCACCTCGGTCTCCCAAAGTGTTGGGATTACAAGTGTGAGCCACTGCGCCCAACCTTTAATGCTTCTTTTGTTCTATACAAATGAAATGGTTTTTTAAAGTTCTCTTTGCATTGGTGCAAAATTTGACACACTGCAATTCATAAATTCAGAGATTATGACACTACAAATTATTTTTATACTGGTATTTGACCAGAAATTAACAATTATTTTTTTAGAAACTGAAAAAGCATCTGTTTTTCTTTTTAGTTCTACTTGACAAGAGATGACATTGCCTTTAGGGAGTAGAAGGGACATCTTTCCAAAGCAGCAAATTCTTATTGTGGATGAAGTCAGTTCTTCTTATATAACATGTATGTCTATAACACTTTGCTTGTACAAAGGTAATTTTTGTACTCTGAAAGTATGCATATTGACCCTCCAAGTTTTTTAGAATACATTAAATTTAAGATATTCTTGACTTGAGTAGCCATTCTTTTTTTTTAATGATAGAGGCATGAGATGTGCAAAAGATAAAAAATGAGGTAGTCATCAACACTAATTCGAAAGGGCTATATTCATAAGGGAGAAGAAATAGCAGTGCTGTGATTTGCAGCCAACCTAGAAGGAAGCAGCTCTAATATGAATACAAAGCTGTGCCCATCAGCTTGCAGTATCTTCACCCAAAGACCACCTCCACGGTTTCTTCAAAATGCCACTTCTTGCAATAAAAGAGTATGTCTCATAATAACAACAGCCGAGGAGGGGTAGGAGCACAAGCATAATATCACATGATACCACCTACTTATTGAGAAGATACCAGACTCTAAATAATTTTAATTTTGCACTCACTTTGAGAAAATGTAAAAGGCAGAGTAGCACAGCAGTTAATAATCTGAGTCCGATTTGGAACTAATTCTGGGCTCTGCTACTCACTTGCTACCGCTCTTGTAACCTGGGGCACATTCTTTACTACACCTTCTCTTTCC